TTACGCATATACATATGCATGCATGTGTGCTTTTCCATCACAAAAAGATAGAATTAAATCACATTTATAAAATCGCCTTTTTTTTAAAATAAAGTTTCATTTTACTCATGTGAATGACACACACTGAGGAGGCTGAATATTTATTTGGTACCTGTTGTATTGTGTATATATGCATGTTTGTGCAGCTTTTCAGTTTGAAAACAAATTTAAAACAAGCGGGGTAAATAGAATTAAACTTAAACAAAATGGGATACAGATATTAATTTAAATTTTTTGCCAAATCTGATGATAATGATGACGATAATAATAATAATTTCTGAAAACAAGTCAATAAATTCGAGACCAGTATCTAGTATTATTGTTATTATTATTATGAATTAACATGTACACAGGATACGCCTTTATTTTATTCAATTATCAATTTATTTACCTAGAATTTAGATTATTATTATTGTTCCCTTGGGTTCCTAGTGAAACATAGGGCTTCAAATGAACGTCTCCACTTGCCACTTCTGTCTTCCTTCTGCTGTACTTTTCACCTGCATACATGTTAGTTAGTCCATACTGTTTCAACTCCTCTTCACACGATCTCCTCCTCGAATGTCACCCACCCTTGCACCGACGTCCCACTCGCCGCTTCCCATTCTGTTGGGTTCCACCCAAGCAATGGCCTGACGCGCGCGCGATGTCACCCAGCGGCGGCCTCCTCAGCCACAACTGTCCAATCCACCTCCACTTTCTCCACTCTGCATATTTGTTGGTTGGCGATTGGTCTGTTCTTGTTTTGTTTGTTAGTGCCCATAGTTTCTTGTTGGTGATTCTTCCCGGCCAGCCGGCCATCTTACTGATCTTCAGTACACATCCAGCGAAGACAGTTGTTGGTTGATGAAGGTCTGGTCTGCAACAGGCTGTTGGAAATATTCTTTGTGTTCCGCCCGCCAAGTTTCTTCTCCATCCGTATAGAAGAGCTGACTGACTTCACGTTGTTTGTATTGAAAATCCGACCGAATTTTGTTGTTGATGCTGGCTGAGTGACGAAGATTTCTAGATTGGTTTCAGTTGGTTGATGAATGTGTTTCTCACTCGCCTTCCCGATTCTCGCTCGATTTGACATCCTCGTTCGTTCCAACGTCCTGTAGTTGAGACAATGCTCCTTAGATGATAAGTGAAGTGAATGAAGTAACCTCTTTCAAATCCCTCCCGTTGATGGTGATTGGCACTGCGTGTTGCTGCTGTTGTTGTTGGTTGGTTATTTTCATCACCTCCGTCTTGTCTATGTTCACCTGGAGTCCTGTCTTCGCCGGCTGCTTCTTCGATCAGTTTGTCGGTCGGTTTTCGCTTGTAAGTCTTCGATTCTGTGCAAGTGACATCAAACATAAATTATCCCTAGGCGAAATCCAGGTCTTCTAGGTTCTTCACGTCGGTCGGTCCAGGATATCCCTGTCTTCTCGTTTTCCACTCACTGTCTGACGCATAATCCAGTCAGTCCACCACAATTAGGAATATTATTGATGATAATAGGCACCATTATCTGACTCCTGTGTTTACTCCAAACGCCTCGCTGAGTTTATATGTATGTATATATTCCTTTAGGTTCCATAAGGGACATAGGGCTTCCAGTTGTGAAGCTTAAGTATCTATAGTAGTTTTGCTTTCCTTCTCTCTTCTTTGAACTTATTACACCTGTTAACAAACTGCACTGAATTTTTAAGAATGCATCGTGTGGGGCTGGAACATGGATCATTTTTATAGCTGATGAATATCCTACCATTGGACTGACGATGCATCCCCTACTGTGGGCTAATCATGCACACAGTTCGAGGTTCGATTCCCTATCGAAGCATTTCTAAACCTTACCTAATTTGATGCATGTGTAAAACTTGGGCAATGTGTTAGTAAGTAATTCCTAATTAGTTTTGCTTATTAGATGTCATTGAAATAGTATTATTTACTGGATGACACAGTTTTGAACACAATTTATTGCTGTTCATAATCATTTCATGAATTATAATCACACACGACTTCAAAAACCTGAGTTTCATAGTTTTCTTTGTTCTCTCCTAATTGTCACCATTGACGTAGTAGAATTTTCCAGATATCTGGGTGGACAGGTGTTGACTCATTCCTTTTACAGGTATTCTCTTTAGTTGATTCGATAAACAAAGCTTCTGGTATCAATCTCTCCCTCCACCATGTTACTTGCATTAGATTTTAAAACTGTCATCTTATCCCATCCATCCAATTGTATGGTTGTGTGTAATTGCTAATGAGGTAAAGGCGGAGGAATGGGTTTTCGGCTGGCAGTTCCGCCCCGTAAAAGTAAAATAATCGCTTCTGTAAAAATTTAGAGCACAACGCTTGAATTCGAATGCTACTTGCTGAATGCAGAGCCAAGAAACTCTTTCTTCCAGTGGATGTTTGATGAGTTCTGATTTGCAAAAGCTAGGCAACAAGAAATGACAGACTTAGGGTTTGCGCTTGTCATTATTCCTCATTAAAATAGTGTGTCTGGAATTTTTCACATTATGTGACAGTAAGCAACGTTATTGATGATCTTTTCCAGCCACCATTGGCTGCATGTGAAAAAATAAGCTGCTGGTTGGTGACTTGTCAAGTCAAGGATTCCCAGGTAATAGTCATGACAACTAGATCTCGTGTACTTTCTCATTTCGTTCATTTCATTTCTTTACTGTTATGATTATTATTCTCTCTTGGGTGCCTGGCGAAAAATATAGATTCAGAAGAACATCGTCATTCAATCCTATTCTCTTTAGTCTGTTTTAGTTGGCGAAACGATACCTGATCCATACGCTGAACCACAGAATCCGCACAATTTATGTCTCTGACACTATGGAACAGAAGTTGAACACTCTAAAAAGAATCCTTTTCGAAAATGGCTACTTCAGAACCTTTCATCATGAAATCCATGAAACCTAAACGACTTAAAATGCCCACATTATGTACTTCTAAAAGACCTCTCTATTGAATCTATAATTCAATGTATACTCATTATCGGAACTACTGAGAAACCACCTCCCCTGGTCACTGAATAAAACCTGCTCCAGGGCTGAAGATTGAATAACTTTCTCTATGAAACCAATGATTCACGTAAACGTGAAGGATAAGCTACTACTGTCGGCCAGTCTCATCAGTGTGTGTCTATCAATTAACTTGCTAGTGTGGAGCTAGGTATGTCTGCCGTGCCCATAGTTTGCTATACAAAGGTATTGTCGAACACTTACTCTCATGGTTTTATGAAAGAGTAAAAGGTTCAATCACGCCGTAGGTCTCTTCTGCAACACCTGATCGAATCTGGACACCAAGCAAACTCACAAATGAACTTCAGAGTTATCCGTAGAATACGTGGGAATCTTGCTAAAAGGGTAAAAATCAAACTTCAAACAGCAGAAGCGATGGCGATTCATATTTTAAGTCCTTAACTTTGCACACAAAAGAAGTTTGTTCAGTAATTAAATCTACAATGGACATCATCGTTCGTAACACCAAATATGTAATTTTTTATTTTATGTTTCTTAATTGTATAAAATTTCTTCCACCACCTACTATTAAATCTCTTCTACTTATTACCACCACTCAATGGGGAATTTCAAGTTGGGTGATAGGTTATTGATTAGTCTAGCGGCTATCAGAGTTTCTTATTGTTTATCCTTCCTTGCCATCCATCTGACCTTTGCTTTAGGGCAAATGGGTCAGCTGTTGATAAAATTCTGCATTAGCCTGTTGGGAATACATTTCGTAACACTCCAAGTCTCCGAAACACATAGAAGCTCTGACTAAACTGGTATTATTATTATTATTATCGTTTCCTTTAGTTCCTACGTTGGGCTTCAGCCCAAAGTCTTAAATGCGTTCGGTTCTCTGGCAAAGTTTTTTCCGCGCTCCACGTGTGCCTACATGCGTTCATCTCCTCTTCACGCGACCTCCACCACTCCATGTCACACCATCCTCGGACTGACGACAAACTAACTCGCCACTTCCCATTCAGTCGGATTCCACTCGACCGATGGCCTGTCGTGTGATGTCACTCACTTGATGGTGGTTTGTTTTCTCAGACTATGGTCGCCACCACACTCCACCTACCTCGATCTCTTCCTGCAGATTTGTTGCACATTTGGTTCCTGATGGGTTGGTTCGTTGGTTCATTGCCAGAGATCCCTCCCTGTTTCTGATCCTTTCTGACCGGCCATCTGATCTTGAGTGGTATCGAGAAAAGACAGTTAGTTGTTGATGTAGGTATGTAGTTTGTTCGGCGTGCTGTACATGACGCGCTGGCCGAGTCTCTGATCCGTGTAGGTTAGTAGCACTGACTTTACATTGGAGTTGAAAATCCGGATGTTATTTTTCATTCTAACTGCTGAGTTCTGTTGACCTCCACACGGACTTGGGAAAAATGAAAGCTTGTGTTGCTTTCTGGATCCTCGCTTTGGTGATATCCTCATTAGTCCCATCCGCCTGTAGTTTAAACGATGCCTCCCAGGTAAGTAGGTGGGTAGATAAAGGAGGTTGATTCTTTCAGATTTCTCCCATTTATGCTGAGTTTTGTCTGTTGTTGTTGTTGTTGTTGCTGTTGGCCAAACTGGCATCAGTGTTATGAATTCCGATCTTGTTCCTGATGCTGAGTTCCAGTAGATTTCTAGTTGAATTATCAGTTTAATTCTCTGTGTAATTTTCATATAAATTTTTAGTCTTATGTTGAAATGTTTTTTCAACAGAATCATTGTCATTCACTGAGAATTCCAGGCACATCCAGATGAAGAGTTTCAAATAGGGCGAAATGCGCCTGATGGACTTCCTTGCTAGTCACCCTCCATCAAACAATATCCACAAATGAGTTTCAAGAATCAAGTCTGACCTACAATTATTTTTCTCAACAATCTTTCTAATATCACTTTCATACTTGATTTAAATATATTTAAATTGTTCTTCTCAGTTGTAATTAATTAAATGCTGTATATTCATTTTAAATTTAACTTTTCCAGGTTCTAGGACGCTTAAATGATGCATTAAAACAAATTACACACAGTTTAGATATTTATTATAACAAACAACAATCTGGTGGTGGTGGTGATGAAATAATCAACAGGGGACAAAATTCATCACAGTGTAGTAATGTATTGTTGGCTAATGCACATGACTGTCGTGCAATCATTTACTTACAACTAGGTAGACCACAACGTGCTATTGATGATCTTACTGTTTCAATTCGCTTAAATCGATATGCTACTAAGTATTTAATCAATCGTGGTGTGGCTTATCTGATTAATAATCAATCGATGCCAGCAATGATAGATTTCAGGTGAGATGCGTATATATATATATATATATATATATATATATATATATATATATAATGTTAAAATTAGAAAATAACCTTCCCTACTTCATCTCAGGGGCCTGTTACATAGCTGATGGCTCACATGACCCAAGTTCCTTAATGGATAATGCTTTGGTGTTCCAAGTGATGAGTGCAGGGTTTGAGTTCTAATGGGAACACTTGGCCGTAGGGGGATAGACATTTATTTATTTTGTTTATTTAGTTATTCTATGTACTTTTCCCTTATTACTTCGATGATGATGATTATTATTACTATTCTCACTCTGAATTGTTTCCATTTGACCTACTTGTCATTTTAAACCCAAAATTATTAATTTGTATATTTTTTATTTTTATAATACTGAATTCTATCTAATCAAATTTCACACCATATTACGTAACATTTTATATTCGCCTACTAATCCTTTTAATTATGCACCCCTTTCCAAAATCGATAATAATAATCTTTCCTTCACGTTCCCCAGAAGACCATAGGGCTTCAAGCTAGTCGCTTGAAGTTTCTGTAGCAGTGTTTAATTTGCAGGATGGGATTGCTAGCCTCACGCCCAACCTTTTCTGTTTACCAGCATTATTTCTAGATTAGCGAGGTAAAGGAGTGCGTCGGCCAGGGATCGAACCCCGAACCATGTGCATGGTCGGCGAGCGTCCTAACCGCTGTTCCACCAACGCACAAAATTGATTCTATATATGACATTAATTATTTTGCCACTTGACATTAAACTATAATCACAAATTATAAACATAAATTATAATCCCAAATATTTTAACTGCATTTCATACTATTGTTATTTCGTGTATTCACACCTTTGACCTAATTCCCTCACCGGATATAATTTCTCGGTGAGTGCTTGTACATCTAGCTGACAAGTACTAAACTTGATGAAGTGAGCATCCTGGACTCTACTGCTAGACACTTACAACAAAAATGCAATGTAACATTATCAAGTATTGTTTCTGAGGAATTTTGTTTGATTGGTTTGAGTATGTCCACATGAGCTGATATTAGTTAGACAACCATTGGAAAACTAGCTAGACATACTAGATAGCGGTCTCTCTAGTGCTATTTTGGGGCTCTTCAGAGGCACTCACCCACCGGAGTTCATACCCCGAGCCTTCTGGTTACAAGGCGAGTGAGCTTGTAGACAATGAAGCCACTTGGACCCGATCCAACGGCCAGCCCATGAATTCTATCTTCTGCCAATTCATAACATAACGTGACCACGTCTCAATGTCTTCTTCGATGATTTACTGCTGTACCCTACTGATCATGGCTTCCCACTAGAAAATTACTTTTACATTCAGAGCTTTAAAGTGTTTATAAAACTTATGTGTATGCTTTAGTTTTCTGGAAAATCATCCAACCTGTGGTGGACAAGCACATGCTGGTTGACATTTTCAGAGGCTGAGTTATTTACAATTTGATAACTGGTTGTTCACACGTATTGGAATCAGTCATCGAATAGTGAATGAAATCATGCTAGAATCATCAGACGTTAAGTGAGTTTTTAATTTAAAGTGCTGAATGATAGGCAATAGAATTCAAGATAAACAAGTGTGACTGGTGGGATACAGCAGGTCGAATGTGAGGACAAATACTCGCCACCGACGACATTGGCTATTGGTTGCGTAATTTTGTGAATTTCTAGAAGTTGGAATTCATGAGCCGTTGGATAGGGTCCAAGTGGCTTAATGGTCTATAAGTTCGCCGTGTAACTGGAAGGTCCTGGATTTGAACTCCAGGAGGTGCACACTGCTGAAGAGTCCCAGGCTAGACAAACGAAACGGATGTCCAGTAATCCTTGCTGGTTTCCCAATGGTTCTCAATTCACGATAAAGTCCTGTAACCAACCAAATCCCTGCAAAGCAATACTTGAACAAATAACACAACAAGAATGTCATGCACATAATGTCGTTTATAAATTTGAAAAGAAGAAAGATATATGTGAGAATTTTTTTAACGTGTTCTGTGGTAATTTATGAGTCCGATTGGCTCAGCGATGGCCTTTGTGAATACAGCACTGGGTGATGTGAGTCACAATCTCGGTGGATAGATTGGTTCTTTCAAGGCCGCGAATAAGCCAACCAACGAACACAAAGCCTAAGCCAATCAATTTCTACTGGCCGCCCTCCCCACAATCTAACATCCATTAAGAGCCACCTATATTGGTGACCATACTGTAAGCTCGGCTGACAGATTTGCGTCTGTATCAATGCAATAACATGAACAAATGGTAAATTTATCTAAGTGTTGGTTCTCAGGGATTTGGTAGATATCAAGTTAGATCATGAATTGGATTCGGATAGACAGCAGCTGAAAACATGTGATTACTGGAAAGTTGTTCCGTCCTTTTGGCGGGCCCCGAGCATTACGCACTTACGACCTCACCAGAGATTGGAGTCAGGACCTTCAGTTTACAGGATTCTGGTTACTGAGTGGCTAAAAGTCGAAGTCACCTGAAGTTTTAGTGATAAGTCATGAACAGTAAAATCCACTAAGTTGGGTAATATTGGCTGGCAGTCTTGCCGTATATCGCGAATCAGAAGAAGGATTTCTTGGGGTGTTGAATTTCATCCCAATGTCTAAGTGGTTAACCAACTTATTTTGTGACTTGAAGGTTGTTCTTTCGATCTCCGATGAAGTCAAATGTGGGTAGAAAAGGAGTTCAAAACTATGACAAATCAGTTGTTGTACACATTTAGGTTTCCAAGGGTTCTCATAGGGAATTTCGTCAGTAATCAAACTTGAGGTCAACTTTTGTTTACATTTGCTTAACACAATACCTGAAGGATTGGGGTGGTATTAGACATATTAGACAGCTAACCAGATTCAAATCACCATGTTAACCTTAAGAATAACTTCTTGTCATGATTTTGTTCCCAGAACCTTCAGGCAAATACGTTGTTATACAGTCATCGAGTACTTCCTAGTTTTCAGTGGTTCTCTAAATGACACCGATTGATGACAAACTCTTCCTTGAGACTGAGAAGATTCTTACTGAACCAATACTTAATAAGCATTCTGTTCATTTACGAAGTGATGATTGTAAATATCTGCAGTGTACACAACAATGTTACTCAACAACAAATCATCGACCAGAGTATGAGAGTAGATTTTAATGAACCAAGTAGTCTGTTGTGTTTGTGATCTAATTTAATAATAATAAAGCTTTATTTCATACAGAGGTCATTTGGCAACTACTTCGCTAATATGGATTTCCGCCAAAAGTACGCATCTCATCCAACAGTTGTATGACAATGCTGCATGCTAAGTAATCCACAACGGGAAACTCACGGAATCCTTCGAAGTGAAGACGGGAGTAAGAAAAGGCCGGCCGGCTGGCTGGCTGGCTACCATCTCCAATGATTTTCCTGATTGCGGTAGACTGGATAACGCGACAGACAGTGGGCTGAGCAGCGAGGAAACAGGCATAAAACAGACCGACACAAAAACCCTGGAGGATCTGGACTTCGCAAATGATATGTGTCTGATTTTACACAAACTGGAAGATATGCAAGTGAAAAGCAACAAGTTGGTTGAAGAAGCATCCAGAGAAGATAGGACCGATTTTAGGTGAACATAGAGAAAACAGAAGGGATGAAGATTCCTGGTCAACAACAACTACAACAGACAATAATCAGGATAAATGGGAGAAATTTGAAAGGAGCAAACTCCTTTACATACCAATCTGGGGATCACCGTTTCAACTACATGTGGGGGGAACTGACGTGCATATCAGAGAGAGAATCGAGAAAGCAAGGGAAGCTTTCATTACTCTCAAGTCTCTGTCGGGTCAACAGCACTATTCAGCATGAAAAATAAGATCCGGATCTTCAACTCCAATGTGTGGTCTGTGCTGCTTACTGCATAGATCAGAGATTAAGTGGATCATGAAGAGCACTTCAAGCAAACTACACACCTTCATCAACACCAAACTGTCTTTTCTCAATACCACTCAAGATCAGATGGCCGGTCAGAAAGGATCAGAAACAGGGAGGGATCTCTGCCAATGAACCAACGAACCAACCTATCAGGAACCAAATGTGCAACAAATCTGCAGGAAGAGATCGAGGTAGGTGGAATGTGGTGGCGGCCATAGTCTGAGAAAACAAACCACCATCAAGTGAGTGACATCACACGCCAGGTCATCGGTCGAGTGGTATCCGACTGAATGGGAATTGGCGAGTTAGTTTGTTGTCAGTCGGAGGGTGGTGTGACATGGAGTGGTGGAGGTCGCGTGAAGGGTAGCCAGGTGAAAACATTGTCAGAGAAGCGAACGCAACACAGACCTGAGGCTGAAACCCTATGTTCTTCTAAGAACTAAAGGAAACGATAACAGGAATAATTATTTGTTTTTAGATAATATGTGAACACATATTACAGAAATTTTCAGTGTGTATTTAGTCCCAAAATATTCCTTTTTCATACAGGATTTACATGTAAATTAATAATATGAAGTTTATCATGTGACGTAGCGCTTTTGTATATGAAGAGAGAACCAACTCTGTGAGTTTTTCTTCATTCTCCTCAAGAATTGAACAGTGTTTTGTTGAGAGAGAGAGAGCTAATTAAATATGTGCGTGAGTTTATGTTGCAGTCATCTGATATCATTTCATGATTAAAACAATAAGAAATGCACAAAAGTCGAAGCATTTCAATGGACTGAAATTCTGTTAGCCTAGTGATTTAAACAGGTCGCCATTGACTACCAGCGGAAATATTAAATGGAAGATGAAACATTTATACATTATCCAATAACCTTTACTCCCTTTTTCACGCAGTACACAAAAGGATCCCTTAATGTGCAAACTGGCTTAAGTTGGATCATAGATTAACATTAGTTAGAGATCTGCTGATAGCCAGGAATTACTGGAATGCTGCTTGATTTTAGTTTGGGTTTCTTCAAATGCACGTGTCCATGACTCCAAGATATTCAGATTTCTAGGGGAGTCCGTCGGTTATTTAGCTAATGAGATAGAATTTATAGGCTCAATAATTCTATTTCTAAGGGGAGGTCGTGACCGATGGGGTCTATGAGGTCGGGTTTGAGGACAAATACTCACTATTGATGACATAGGGTGGCAGTGGCGTTATATATCGCAAATTAACAGAAGTTAGAACTCATACACCTTTGGATTCCGCCTCAGTGGTTGAGAAGTCAACGAGTTCTCCTCGTAAGCTGAATGTCTTGAGGTCACTTGTGAGTACTGTTCAAGAAGCCTAAACTAAGAAGAAACAGTTCTGCATTACTCTCTAGTTTTTAGTAGTTCTCCAAATGTTTTCAGTATGTGAAATAACATGAGATCAATCGACTCCCTACAAACGAATACTTTAAAAACCAAACTGATTTAAACTAATTCCAGCATAAATAAAACAATCGAGGCTATCAAGAACTTGACATTGTGTATATTTAAACAAAATGGATTTGAAACTTGCTTATAAATGTGTGTGGATCTTCGTGATAGAATGACAGGAGCTGGGAATTAAGCAAAAGAAGATATGAAATGTGTATATCTCTACCTTATTCAACAGCTGTGCGACAACGCACATGTCGATTGAGCCACAACGGAAAACTCAACGAGACGTTTGGAGTAAACACAGGAGTCAGACAAGGGTGATTATTACCACCAAGGATATTCCTAATTGTGGTGGACTGACTGGATTATGCGTCAGACAGTGAGTGTCAAACGAGAAGACAGGGATATCCTGGACCGACCGACGTGAAGAACCTAGAAGACCTGGATTTCGCGCGTGGATGATTTATGTTTGATGTCACTGTCACAGAATCGAAGACTTACAAGCAAGAACCGACCGACAAACTGATCGAAGAAGCAGCCGGCGAAGACAGGACTCCATGTGAACATAGACAAGACGGAGGTGATGAAAATAACCAACCAACCAACAACAACAACAACAGCAGCAGCAACAACATCCAGCGTCAATCACTATCAACAACGGGAGGGATTTGAAAGAGGTTACTTCATTCACTTCACTTATCATCTAGGGAGCATTGTCTCAACTACAGGAAGTCGGAACGAACGAGGATGTCAAATCGAGCGAGAATCGGGAAGGCGAGCGAGAAGCACATTCATCAACCAACTGAAATCAATCTGGAAATCTTCGTCACTCAGCCAGCATCAACAACAAAATTTGGTCTGATTTTCAATACAAACAACGTGAAGTCAGTCAGCTCTTCTATACGGATCAGAAACTTGGCGGGCGGAACACAAAGAATATTTCCAACAGCCTGTTGCAGACCAGACCTTCATCAACCAACAACTGTCTTCGCTGGATGTGTACTGAAGATCAGTAAGATGGCCGGCTGGCCGGGAAGAATCACCAACAAGAAACTATGGGCACTAACAAACAAAACAAGAACAAACCAATCGCCAACCAACAAATATGCAGAGTGGAGAAAGTGGAGATGGATTGGACACTTGCGGCTGAGGAGGCCGCCGCTGGGTGACATCGCGCGCGCGTCAGGCCATTGCTTGGGTGGAACCAGGCCGAAAGAGAGGCAGCGAGTGGGACGTCAGTGCAAGGGTGGGTGACATTCGAGGAGGAGATCGTGTGAAGAGGAGTTGAAACAGTATGGACTAACTAATATGTATGCAGGTGAAAAGTACAGCAGAAGGAAGACAGAAGTGGCAAGTGGAGACGTTCATTTGAAGCCCAATGTTTCACTAGGAACCCAAGGAAGCAATAATAATAATATCTCTACCAGTGAATTAGGTTTTGATCAATATTTTATGAATTATTTTCAATTATCAATATCTAAACTTCATTTTTAAAATGACTCACATGAACTTTTCCACACACACACACATACATACACACAAAACAAACAAAACTGAAAACAAAAGCTAGAAACTATGAATTGACTTTATTTTTTTTGGTATTTTGTAAATTATTTTGTTTTTCTGTATCACTCTTTAATATTTCATAAATATTTAAAGCATTTCCTGTAACAAACAGTCTGAGGGCTGATTGAGTCAGCCAGATTTCTAGCGGGATTGAGAAAACAAACCAAACACAGGATTTTTCCCCTAATGTTTTTATCGTATAAGGCACAGGTTCTTCAGAAGACTATTCATGTTTATTTAAATGTCTACGCATGAATATTTACCTCCTTGTGACCTTCAGTTGAGTTAGTTTCATGTACTATTAAACTATATAATTTGTTTGTTTTTAAAAAATAAAAATAAAATTCGAGAAATTCTATTGAAGAAGAAGCTTTTGCTCATTCGGAAAAATGTTTAGAAAAATCTTGTTTTGATTTTGTAAACATTCTAGAATTATTTTAAATAATATTTATGATAACAATATTAAGCCTTCATCATGAGCTGGGATTCAAACCCATTGAGCCATTGGATCGGGTCCCACTGGCTCACTGGTCTACGAGCTAACTTACCCTTGTAACCAGAAGGTCCTGGGTTCGTACTCTGCTGGTGGCTGCATACTGCCGATGAGTCCCGAACTAGACTGACGAAACAGCTATCTGCCACTACTCCCAGCTGGTTTTACAATGGTTCTCTTACAGATGTCAGCTCTTTATGTAGTCCCATAACCAATCATATCCAACAAACCAATATTGAGTACTATATTAGTTTGTTTATTAGATGTATCACACAGTGGAACAGTATTTTTAATAGATGATGCTGCGAACAAAATTCATTGTTCATAATCATTTCATCGATTAGGATCACCTGACTTCGAAACTTGAGTTTTTCTGATCATCCCATCCTATTGTCAGTGAAAATTGGATTGGTGAAATGTTTAAGTCATACAGCACAAAAACTAAGTGGTACGAAAGAAAATCTAGGACAAGAAGTGAGGCATATAAGAGAAGCTTTGAAACTTAATAATTATCCTGGTAAATTAGTTAGAAAGTATGTTGGGAAATGTAAAAATCAAATAAATAATGATAGTTGTGATAGTAATAAGGATAGTAATAATAATATTAATGAGGACACGCATGTCAAACATGCGCAGGATAATGCCAGCACCAACAATAAGGAATCGAAATCATCAGTAGTACTTCCATACAAAGAAGGAACCTCGGAAACCACCTTAAGAAGAATTCTTAACAAGGCAGGAATAAAAGTGGCCGGGATTCAAGCCCACAAACTCAATTAGAAACAAGCTTTGTCGGTTAAAGAATCCTGCCATTGGAACCTTTAAAAAAAACCAAATTTAGTTTATCTAATACCCGGCTGCTGGAATGATTGTCAGGTCAAATACATAGGTCAAAGTAGTAGAACTGAGGTCAGTCAGTCAGACTAGCCGAGCACAAAACGCTTAGCAGCAAAATCTAGATTAGTTGACTAGAATAAGATGAGAAATCTAGAGAACAATTCAGCTATATCACTCACTACATGCAATTACACACAACCATCCAAAAAATGGTGGAGGGAGAGATTGATAACAGAAGCTTTGTTTATTGAGTCAACTCCAAATACATGTAATAGGAATGATTTAACACCTGTCCACCCAGATATCTGGAAAATTCTACAAACCTTAGTGGCGACAAATAGGAGAGTATAGAGAAAACTATAAAATGGAGGTTTCAAAGTTGTGTTATTATAACTGATGAAATGATTATGAACAATAAATAAATTTTGTTCGAAACCTTAGTCATCCAGTAAATAATAACACTGTTTCAGTGACTGTGTGATACATCTAATAAACAAACTAATATGGAATTTGTTACAGAATTTCATCATGAGCTGATATTCGTTAGAGAACCATTGGAAAACCAGCTAGGAGTACTGGACAGGTGTTTCGTCGGCCTAGTTTGGGACTCTTCAACAGTACGAACCCACCGGGATTTGAACTCAGGACCTTCTGATTATAAGCAATCAAATCAAATAACCAATCAAATCCTTACAAACCAAAACTTTAATATGGAAGAACTTACTATCACAGTGCCCAAATTTGTCACATATATTTAGGAAGAGATAAATTTTCCTTTTTCCTTTTCTGATTTAATAAAGCCAGTACACTTTGTATCAATATCTTCATTTATTTATTCTACATTTCAGAAAGGCAATTCAAATTGATCCTAAAAACAGTCTAGCCAATTACCATCGTGCATTGATCTACCTACATCATAGTCAATTTGAACAAGCTGAAAATGCAGTGAATATTGCCCTGCAGGAACAATGTCTACCATTCAACTGTTATCAGTTAGATCCAATGAACTTAGATCCAAGTGTATGGTTACTACGTTCTATTATTCATTTGTTGAAATACAAATCAAATGATACGCGTAGCAGGATATTACAAGAGGCGTTGAATGATGTTTGTAAGGCAGAAGAGTTGATTTCACCAAGAAGAATGCATTATAGCATAACTCAATGGCCTCATTTACACTATACTAAAGGTCGAATATTATATGAATTAAATTGTTATAAAGATGCAGAAGAAGAGTATACTAAAGGTGAGGAATAATGGATTTTCTGGAGTTATTCCCCTGTTACTTTTAAAAAACCCACTAGATTTAAGATGATTATTCAAAGAAAAGAATTCTTCGGGCACTATATTAATATGATTATAATTATTATTCCCTAAGGTTCTGAGTCTGTCTATCTGTCTGTTTTCAACATAGAACTTTGCACTGATGTGCACCAGTTCAAGTCGCCAGACTCCACTCCTTGTAGCACACAAAGCAAGAGAAGAAAGTAGAAGAAATGCATAATAGAGACAGTAAACAGAGATGTGAGACAAAGGAATAGTAATAATGAAGAACAATATAGTTTCATTTGAAATAATAAGTCACAAGGAGTGGATGCATCTGCGCTAGCCATTGAGAACGATAACTTTGAACCATATCACCGATTGTCTCCAGCTGTCATTGGTTTTTACCATCCCGAGGACCCCAACCAGTCAGTCAGGAAGTCTACACCTTCCTACGTGGCTAGCTTAAACTAACTGTTGTAGATTTCATGGACTGGTGCCATTTTTTGCTTTGACCCCCAGCATAGTGTAAGAAAGATTCTTACACAATATCGGTAACTGCTTTTAGTCTAATCGTTATCCTAACAACCTTCCTGGCATGGTAGGAGCTGCAGGAACATTGGTCCCAGTCAGTGCAGCTTGTTAGGTGATCGCGATGTGCAAGCCCGACCACCACGTCAAAGTAGCAGCTATCGGTCGAGAGGGTTCTGTGTAGAAATTAGGAGTTAATCAGCGCATCTCCATCTCATTCATTGTTAGCGTACTCCACGATTGCTCTTAAACTTTCATTTCTAACTCCTCACATGATCTCCTCCATGTCATTATCAGAACCACCCCAAACTTATTGTTTTTATTCGTCTTATAGTCGACGGTCTGACGCACAATGGTTTCCTCTTCATGTGCACGATCCATCTTCATTTCCCCCTACTTATAGGTTGACCGACAGGTTCTTGACTGGATCGTTCCCAGAGTTGCTTGCTGCTCTAATTATTCCTGTCTATTCGATATTCAATATGGAATGAAGGCAGTCGTTTATGCTAGTCTGCAGGCTATTAGAAATGCCTTCCGTGACGTTTTCAGCACGTTTTTGATCAGTGTGCAATAAATATGTGACTGACTTGAATTCGATAGTAAACATCTAAATCTTGTTCTTTATGCTGAGTGTAGAAGATTTCCAAACTGAATTCACAGTGGTGAAGATTTTCCTCACCTTTCCGATCCTTCCTTTGACATCCTCATCCGTGGTGTCTGTGCCTAAGACGATGCTGTCTAGAATTACGCTAACTTCCTTTAAGTTCTTCCCGATGATGGAGACTGATGTTCTTATCCTATTCACATATTTATAATCCTAGGTTGATTATCCTATGTTAAACACAGAAAATGAACTCCAATAACAATAATAAAATGAACACACACAAAAAACTTGGAGGATCTGGACTTCGCCGATGATATACGTCTGATTTCCCACAAACTCGAAGATATGCAAATGCAAAGCAAAGAGTTGGCAGAACAAGCATTCAGAGAAGATAGGACTACAGGTGAACATAGATAAAACAGAGGTGGTGAAGATTCCTGGCCAACATCAACAGCAACAACAACAACAGACAACAATCAGCCAGCATAAATGGGAAGAACCTGAAAGAAACATCATCCTTTACCTACCTACCCACCTGGGAAGCATTGTTTCAACAACAGGCGGATGGGACTGACGAGGATATCAAAGCAAGGATCGGGAAAGCAAGACAAGCTTTTATTACTCTCAAATGTTTGAAGGTCAACAGCACTCAGCATCAAAAATAAGATCCGGATCTTCAACTCCAATATGAAGTAAGTGCTACTTTACGGATCAGAGACTTGGCGAGTCATAAAGAGCATCTCAAACAAACTACAGACCTTCATCAACAGCTAACTGTCTTCGCGCGATACTACTCAAGATCAGATGTCCATCCAGAAAAGATCAGCAACAGAGATGGATCTCTGGCAGTGAGCAAACCAACCAGGAACCGATCGTGTAACAAACAGGCAGGAAGAAATGGAGATGGATTGGCCATACTCTAAGGAAACCATCAAGTGACATCACTAGACAAGCCATCACTCAAGTGCAACCTGAAAGGGAAGCGGCGAGTTGGTCGTCAGTGCAAGGGTGACTTGGAGGAGGTTATGTGAAGAGGAAATGAAAACATGTGGGCAGACTTGGAGCAAGGTGAAAACTCTAGCAGAGAACAGAACGCAATGGAGACTTGGGTGGCTTAAGCCCTATGTTGCTCTAGGAATTAAAGGAAATAATAATATAATAATGATAATAATAATGAAGAATGCAAATTAACTGTCGTTAAGATTTGACAGAATACTTCTAAAATATTTGGTCACCAAGTGAGAAGTAGACATTCGTAAAAACTTATATTTGTGTAAAATCTCAACGAGATTAAAATGAGTAATTCCAAAGTTTCCTGCATTCGGAAATCTGGTCCGAATTTATTCAGGGAAATTAATCGAAATTAACATAACAGAGGTTTATATGCAGAAAAAAGGAACATCTCTTGTTTTTAAAAACTTTGTCCAATTATATGAGTCGTGAAACAGGTATCAACATGTATAATAAACAAAATTGTATGAACTGTGATGAAAATTTGACCTCGGACTTACAAATATTGGTCTACTTTTGTGAAACACTTTAAACACAGTATGTATGTGTGTGTGAGGGTAAACAGTTGTAAAACTTGTCTTAACGTCTCCATAAGAAGATATAGACAGTCGGGAATTTCGACTAAGTATTATTAATTAATTAGTGATACATATCCATTTTTATTTATTTATCAATCAGGATTTCCTATGCGTCAGCTAACACACACCTTCATGTCTGTTCAAACTGTTAGTATCTAGAATTTTATGATTAGACGTATTTTCAAAATTATGGTGTTTAGGATCAGAGTTTAATTGAAATATACCCTGTGAAACTTATTACTTTGTCTTCTTTCTGAAGATTGAGATGCTTCATTGGACATACTGGAGTTGTCAGGTGACTCGACAGGTCGAAATTCCCGACTGTCTATGTCTTCTTACGTTAGGAAATCAAAACAAGTGATTCAGCGAAGAGACACTTTTCAACGAATTCGTCATCAAGATGTACAATCGTATTCATTAATATGGTTTTTTAAGAAGTTATCTCCGGTAAGGGAATTGAATCATAGGTGTGAATGCATAGAATAATAATAATAATATGATGTGCAATTAAAACTAAAATGTTTGTGATTATAATCGTAGTTAAATATAAAGTGGCAAAGCAAATTAATGTGATGTATAGAATAATTCATAGGATGGATAGAACTTGAAAAAGGGTGTGCAATTATAGGTTTAGTAGACAAATCGAATAAAATAAAACAGTTACGTAATATTGTATGAGACTTAATAGCATAGAATTTACCATTGTAAAAAAGAGAATTGATTTAGAATGACAAGTGGAACAAGTGAAATAATACCAGGGACAGTTGAAAGTGAGAATAGTAATGGTAACAATTGACGTAATAAGGAAGAGTATACAAACTGAATAGTCAAAATGAAAAATTGGTAGAGCTAAAATATGACTGAGGATTACCATACTTTAGCATAGAGAGATTAAGACCGTGAAGGTTGGAGGGGTTGAACGAACTTTTTCTGTACACAGAGATCTGGCTTTTCTGTTTCGATAGCCAAAGATAGCTTCAGCAATACAGATGAACCGGGTACGTAGGGATTTGGGTAGATTGCTCTTTGCCTTGTAGATGACTTTAAAGGCGGAGGCTGTAGAGATAGGGTGATCATTATCGACCAGATGTTCAATGATCGCGCTTCTTATTGCTCCACTTCCACCTCTTCGTAGCAACCATTCAGGATAGTGTTCTTGCACCCTCTTGGACAAAACTCGAGCAGGTGAATTGATAAACACACATAGAAATGTTTTACAACTGTTTATCCACACACACACACACACACACACAAACATACTCTGTTTAAAGTGTTTCACAAAAGTAGACCAATATTTGTAAGTCCGAGGTCAAATTTTCATCACAGTTCATACAATTTTGTTTATTATACATGTTGATACCTGTTTCACGACTCATATAATTGGACAAAGTTTTTAAAAACAAGAGATGTTCCTTTTTTCTGCATATAAACCTCTGTTATGTTAATTTCGATTAATTTCCTTGAAGAAGTTGGGACCAGATTGCTGAATGTAGGAAACGTTGGAATTACTCATTTTAATCTCGTTGAGATTTTACATATATATATATATATAATTTTTTACAAATAATGAAGAATGCTTATACTGACTTATAAAAACTGACAACGAAATAAATGGTGGTATCAGATTATTCCGCACAAATCACTGTTGTTCTTGATTTATTCAAAATGACATTGTTGTGTTTTGTTAGGCACTTTAATTCCTCCGAGCAGTCAGCTACCATCATCTTATCTGATAGCAAAATATCCTCTTCATTATGCATAACTGTTTCCTTTCATAAGAATTTATGCTTGTACAACAAAATATTTAAAAAATTTCAACCATACTGTAGCGTGTTCTACTGAAAAGATTTATCAGCAGTATATAAAGAGGCGTTCATTGGCATACAAACAGTGTCAGTTAGTTGAAAAAGAGAAGACGTTCAGCGAAGAGACTCCTTTCGCAGAATTCATTCAAATAGCTGTACAATCGCACTTATATATAACTGTTTGTATGTATGTGTGTGTGTACATGAGGTTTGTCAAGTTTAGATAATTGATCAGGTAATACAAGAATGGTCGATTTTAGAAACAAGGTTAATTAGACAGCAACTAAAGATTGAGTTAGTAAGTTAGATAACGTAATATAATTGACTGAAATGTTTCAACTTAGGTCAGGGTAGCAACAGAGGTAGTTATAGGTAGAGACTAAGTAGAAGTGAGGTAGATAATAATGCCACTTAAATTAGAATTGAAATTGAGCAAATAAGTCGGATGACGTAA